ACGTCTCGTATCAGCGTCGGCCATCTTCGATAATTAATCCTTGCGCTTGTAACTTGCCTAAGCGTTTATTACGAATCTTGAATGGTATTGGGCGTACTGGACAAATGATTTGTTAATTAAGACGATTCAGAACTTCGACGCAATGAGACAAGGAATGTATTATCTTTTTTTTCCTTTTTTTACGATAAAATATTATATCTATCGAAAATTTTTTTTAAGTTTATTGAAAAAAAATCTTTTTTTATTTAAAAATAATTTAATGATTCGTGGATTTTAATTTTCAATTAATATGGAAAGAAGTTCGCAATATTAATAAAAATTACATCATTCGTTAAATATTATTATATATTATTATATTATATACTATTATGTTTATCGAAAAAAAAAGAAGAAAGTTAATTTTTTTTAGTTGATAATAACATTTCAAACATTTTCAAGTTTTCATTAAGATAGGAAGATAATATTAGTTATTTAAGAGATTACATTGTTAATTAAATATTAATAAACAATAAAAAAAATTATCATTTTCTTTTACTGAAAAAACGAATACAACTTTTCATTAGATCTAATATTTAATTGACCATGTGATATGTTTGAGCTGGAATTTTTAGTATTTCATATCTAAATAAAACAATAGTATAGCATTTATTCGGGCAATAACTACGGAATTTCCAGTAAAAAAAACTAGTATGATTTTTATTTAAATATAAAATACCAAAAATTCAACATAACTTATTGACCGAACCAATATATACTGGGAATTTAATTAGCGAGTGAATTCATCGGTCGGAGTCGCACATGTTAAAAAGAAAAAGAAAAAAAAAGAACAGAAAAAAGACAAGAAAAAAAGAGAAAATTCCCTCGACGGTAACCAATCAGAGAGTTTTTTCACGTTGCCAATTCTAATATATCTAAATCCTTGTATTTCGTTTCGATGCGAAAGCGTACGAATACACACCTAAATGGAAGGACAAATCCTCACCGAAAACGTGGAAATCGCGTAATATTCCGTGGACAACCCGGCACCTTTCGAATGCACGGAACGTTCGTGGAATAAATTTAGGTGGTACTCGAGCAGAAAGCTGATTTACCAGGTACGACCAGTTGCGAAACTGCTTTGAGTACCGCCATAGTTTCAGAGGCCTTTTCCAGAAAGGCCGGCTCTCGCGATCGGTCGATCGTGTTCCGTCAGTTCGTCTTAATCATGAAAACTAATACGAAGAGAATAATGACTCGATAGCAAGTTATGTTTGCCAGTGACTCGTGGAACTTGGAATATTTCTTTTTTTTTTTTATTTTTTATTTTTCGTTTCCTTTTTTCTTTTTCGAAAGAAGAAATAAAGAAGAAAATAGATAAATCAGTTGAACGAACATCTACCACAGTGTCTTTTACATTTTTCATATCGTAATTTATCCGTAAAAATATGTCTTTACATTCAGTACGCGTATAAGGTATAATTAAAATACTAGTAAAATTACATAGTAACGTTCATTACGCGGTATTGACAGATACAATTAACAAATACACGTGTGTGGGCTAAAACGATTACCACATACTGTGAGTATAATAATGACAATTTTTATTTTATAATAAAATAAACGATAATTATCATCTCAGTAGAGTCTCATTAGAAATATCTCCGTAGTTCGAAGAATATTGAATTAGATCGATCTTTTAATGAACAAGAAATTATTTACTTTATTACATAATAACAAACATTTGCGAAAAACTTTTCTTCTAATAACCGACTACTATTATTATCTACTTATATAGTTAATAATACTGAGTTAGTTCTATATGTATACTTATTTATTGAACCATAGGCTTGATAGGAAGGTGTGAAACGATTCGGTGAATTTTGAGTACCAATCAAAGATACGTACAATATCCACGCGCCGACGCCACGATATTCTCGGATGAGAAAAGAACTTTGCCTAAGGCATGCATAATCGCGTGCATCGATCTTGTAAGGTATATTACGGAATCCAGCGTGCAAGGTAAAACTTGCTTCTTGCCGATGATCGTTACACCTAACCTATCTCATACGAGTACTCTCCCCTTAATCTCCCCTTTACCTTCTCCCCCAATCTCTCTCTCTCTCTCTTTTTCTCCATCCCAACTGCATTACATTCTATTTAAAACTTACGAGAGAGTATACAACCGTGAATGGAAAGAACGTGTACGTACGAATCTAATGGCACTTTATTTCGTCGATGTACCTTAATACTGGAATCTTCAGGTTGTTCCTAAGTATTTTATAATGCACCGAGAAAGACGATGCTTACACGTTAAGCCACTTTGTTCGATACGATTCTACCTATCTATATACGTATGTACACGTTACGTACATACATACTGTATGAACAATGATCACAGCTTACATAAAATTCGAACAGTTTATAAGGTTACGAAAACGGATTGTCTTCCATTTTTTTCTTTTGTATTAACAGGAATTTGTTCGTTTAATGATTAGAATCAAAAAATTTGAAAATACCAATACCGATTACTGAACTATTCTGACAATGATCCTAATAAGATAGAGAACTAGAAGATTTAGCCATAAGTAGGTAGATTTCGAATAGCACGTTAAAAACTGTACCCTCCTGGATTACGAATACCATGGCGTAGATGTCCGAGATAGCAAAGGAATATTCGAGCAACCCCAATGGGGTCCATTAGGGAGCCAAAAGCGGTTGGGCCAGTCGTGTATCTGCATCTTCTTCTGTCCACCATTGAACTCTCTCTCTCTCCCTTGCTTTCTTTTCCTCTCCCTTCCTCGATCATCTTTCTCTCTTTCTCTCGGTCTTTTTCTTCTCTCCTTTTTCCACTCTTTCTCGATGGGTCCACGGGAGAGGAAGACGGGGGATGGTCGGCCGGTCAAGCCACATTCCGTTGGCCAACCGACTCCTTGGAACCCTTCCTCCCCCTCTTTGGTAGACGGTTCTCTCTGTATAAACGTTCTCGCCTCCTTATAAACCACCAGGATATGTGGCCGCAAGAGTGCCAATATTATTTCGACTATGTGCAACCTTGCCAATGTAATCGGTAATTCAAAAATCAAGTAGGCGTAATAAGACAGGTCTTCGATGATAGTAGAAGAAACCAATGAAACAATTCAGCCAAAGGTTCGAAACAGATCAAGACAATTTTCCTAACCTTATATGTCTAGATATATATATATATATATATATATATATAAATATATATATATATATATATATATATATATATATATATATATATATATATTCTAAACAAATGATCAAGAAAATTATCCTATAACTCTCGGATATTTTTATTTATTTATTTATTTATTTAGTTTTTTTTTAATATTCTGAACAAACGATCAAGAAAATTATTCTAACCTCTCTTTCTCGAATATTTTCTTTCAAGAGAGATGATCAAGGAAATTGTTCTAACCTCTCTTTCTCTAATATGTTTTTTTCTCTTTCTCTCAAGATGGACGATCAAGAAAATTATGCTAACCTTTCTTTCTTGGCTGTTTTTACGAGATAGATAATCAAGAAAATTGTCCTAACCTCTCTTTCGCTAATGTTTTTTTTTTTTCAAAAGAGAGGTTCAAGAGAATTGTCTCAACCTTTTTCCATCTTGAATATATTTTTTAAATATATGTAGATAAATAATTAAGAAAATTTTCTCAACTTATCTGTTTCAAATTTCTTTTTTTTTTAACGAACGATTAAGAAAAATGTAACCTCTTTTTTTATAATATGTATTTTCGAGAAAGAAGAACGATGAAAACTTTCTAACTTGTTTTTTCTAATATCTTTTTCTCAAGATGAGATGATGAAGAAAATAATTCTAACGTCTCTTTTAAATATCTTTTTTTTTTTTCGAGAGAGAGAGAGAGAGAGAAATAGAAAGAGAAAGAGAGACGGTCACAAGAAAATTCTCCTAACCTCACCTATCTCGGTTATCTTTTTATCAAACTAAAAGTAAAATATATTTACGGTCCGTTAGTCTTAAATGACATCGCGGGAGGGACAAGCTTAATTTATTTCAAACAATACGACTCTCACGGTCGGCGTCACGCACGAAGTATATCCGTTTTTGGACGTTAGATTAAATCGAAGATCGGCAGGTTAACGTAATCCGATAGGGTTATAAAGAGTCTCTCTCTCTCTCTTTCTTACTTACTCTCTGTCTGCATTTTAGATCGACCGATAAAAGAGCTGCTTAGTTCAAAGTGGTATAACTGTAAAGCGAGTCCGGTGAAATCGAGCTACGGCCTCGTTCGTTCCATCGAATTTGTACGTCATTGTAAATGGATCTTTTCGCGCATGCGTACTTATATATGTATATATATATGTAGATACAAATGTACATATATATATATGTATATATACGATAACTAATGTTTTCTCCTTTACTCCTACGATTTGCATAGAAACGAGAGAGAATTTTTGTCGTTCCTATATCTGACCCGGATCTTTATTAACGCGCACATTCTCTGATGTAGTCTATTCAAGATCACGAGCCAAGGCTCGTATAGATTGCGCGAGTGATCAAATCGCTTCGATAATTTCGAAGCAGCGCGATCAGTCTTCTCCACGTTCAAACTAATAAATAATACATCCGGCGCCGGTATGATTTATCGAAGAATTTGCCTCCAACGTTTCCTCGAGCCCCAAGTGTGCTGATGTACTCGCGTTAAATCCGAATACCGGCTTTCTGCGAATACACTCTCTTATACATGCACGCACTTACGCATGTGTGTGGATATCAGTAAGAAATAAGCGAGAAAGAAACACAGAGAAAGAGAGAGAGAAAGAGAGAGAGAGAGAGAGAAGGAAAAAGAGAGAGAGAAATAGTTATAAAAAATATTTCAAATCCGGTTTGAGAAAGTTCAAAATCCTTCAAAATATAATTCTTTTATTCAAGAGACTCGATTTAATTATCGATAATCTTATACATTAGATATAATCATACGATAGGTTAGATATCGTTGACGTTAACAGAAATTTTCGATTTTATTTTCTTCTTTTTTTTTCAATTCGAATTCTTTTCGATCGAAAAAAAATAGTATAACGAAATATCACAATCCCTAAAGGTGTCAATGACAGAGGTATAGGTTAAGGCCCTTGCGAAGGTTCGAGAGATTTCTCTCTGTCTTTCTCTCTTTTACTCTCTGAAGGAGAAGAGATCGCCCACGCCAGGGCCTTAGCTGGGTCCGTAGTTGGCGGGACCGACGTAAAAGTCAGGTTCAAATCTCTGCCCTCCGCCACTTCTCAAGCTCCCTCCATCGGCTGGAGAGTCCAGCACCTCTCCCTTTTTCTGCTCGTCGTCCACCCGCGATCTTTGCCTTCTCATTCCTCTTCTCTCTGACTTCTCATCTCGTCTGTTCCCTCCACCTTCCCCCTTGCCCCTCCTCTCTCTCTTTGCCCGCCCCCGAGGGCTCTGGACTTGTCGAGACGAGCCACGTCGAGGAGGCCGAAGAATGCATAGAAGCATGCCATGGAAGCCGGTTGGCTCGACAACCAACAGATAGAAAGAGGAAGAAAGAGAAAGAAAGAAAGAAAAAGAGAGAAAAAAGACTGATTGAGTTTATTTAACCTTCTTGACTATTATCATCGTATGGAATAAGATTAAAGTAAAATATAACAATGAAATGAGCAAGTAAAACTAAAAGATTATTTTAAAAGAAATATATATATCCCATACATATATATATATATACACATCATACGCATATATATACGTATATTCTAAGAAAGAGAAAGAGAGAGAAAATGTTGAAATGTTGAAGCAATGGCTCCTGCTCCTCCTCACGGAGCAAGCTTCTACGGGGAAAGGGGTCGGACACCAAGACTGGTGGAGAGGACGAGAAGTGACCGGATGGCCTTGGTCTCGAGACTCGGTTAGTTACCGTGCGGCCGACTATAACCCGCCGTGCCACAGGGTGGTATCTCCGATTTCGACCGCTTTTTGAGACGACCAAACCCCGCCACAGCAGCAGCAGCAGTAGGAGAAGGAGAAGGAGAGAGAAAGAGAAAGAGAGAGAGAGAGAGAGAGAGAGAGAGAGAGAGAGAGAGAGAGAGAGAGAGAGAGAGAGAGAGAGAGAGAGAGAGAGAGAAAGAGACAGACAAGGAGTAATAGGGAGAAGGAGAGAGAACGATCGAAAGGGACGACGGCTCGTACACGATGGCTCCTCGATGCTCGCAAGAGTCTGACTATCTCTGAAGTCGTTGAGAGAGAGAGAGGGAAAGAAAGAGAGAGAGAGAGAGAGAGAAAAAGAGAGAGGGAAAGAAACTGCGAAACCAGCTTGATCAAAATTTCTCCTTCTATCTAATTCTTGACTAATATCTTACTTTTTTTAAACCTTTTAAGATTTAAGCTACGAAATATCTAGCTTTGTTGTATCTATTTTTTTTATTATAATCTATGAAATATAATTGATTAACTCTTTAAGAGGTGTTCTTTATATGTTTTAATGTGATAGTCATCATTGATATTTTTTGTATTTGATTATTAAATAAAAATATTGTCAATCTCAAGGACCTCCTGGTATCTTATGACTTTCTTAAAATCATAAAATCCTATGTAAGATTTCCTACGGTCTCCGATACTCTCGTATAAAGGAAGAATGAATGGCCTGCTTACTTATCCCCGGCATTGCTCGTTGTTGCTCAACAGGGGCGACTCGCAGAACCCGTGCAAGAAAGTATGCCTGTAACGTGTAACAGGGTATATAGTAGTAACTCTTCGGTACGGACTCTTACCAAGGTAATAATTATCCCATGAGTTTTGCGAAATAACGTTCACTGGCCGATGTTTTTCCATGACGCTTTTTCGCCGCCATTAATTGTAAACGAACGCGTCTTTATTCCTGCTGCTCGTTAAACGCAATTTAATCCGTGTATTTAGTTGCTATTGAGTAAGTTCTTTAACTTTGTGATACTTTTATTTCGTTTTTTTTTTCTCTTGATCAAACGAGATGAGATTTATATCCTTATATGAAATGTCGAGATGAAATCTGGTGCTCTAGTCACAACGTGTTCAAAATCGAGATATGAGAGAGCTCCATCACCGTCAATGTCACTTTCCTCTAAAACTTTTTGACACACGGTGTATACTTCCTCGCTAGTTAGACCATCTTGGATCAGCTGCCGACAGGTGCGTTCCAAATCACCGACACTTAAAACTCCATCCTCGTCGAAGTCTATCACAGGAAATTAAAGTTTCTTTGAATCTACCATTCGATACTTTTCATTTGTTTCATATCAATTTAAATGCCGTTGTATTTGAGAACATTTACGTTTAGAATAAATATATGATCTACAATCATTGTAATTGTCATTTGAAAATTTTCGATTTTATTAAAAAAAAAAAAAAAAAAAAAAAAAAAAAAAAAACTATATCTTAAAATAAATCTTAAAATTTATCTTAAAATGATAAAATCCACAAATCCAATCGATTATTAAGAAATCCAATCGATTGTTAAGAAAGAATTCGATTCATTTTTTGAATTCGCAACTACAACGACATCGACCTCGAAGTAGTCTCACGATCCGTCTGTCCTTTCGTTAGTCCGGTTCACGTGTACGTAGTCGTACCGTAAATCTTAAAGGCGTAAAAGACCTTCAGATCCCGCGGTGCCTGCTCTGAGAAGACAGACATCATCTCGAGGAAATCTTCGAAACAAATACCTTCGGTATTTTCTGATTGTTGTCTTATGTTGCTTTTTGTGAACACTTCTGAAATTCGTTCTCTAAATGGATTTTCCTATTGAAAAAAAAAAAAAAAAAAAAAAAAAAAAAAGAGAAAAGAAAAGAAAAAAGAAAATAGTTTTCCTACATTTTGTTGTTGTATCAAATATACTCATTGTTAATAACATGGATATTAAATATAAACCTTGAGTTCTGGAATACGTGCCAGACATGACAGCGGTAAGCGCAGAGTTGATGCTTCCTGTGACGTCATCGTACGTGGAACCATTCCTGGATCACCCATTTCTCGAAAACGTTTGAATATCCTAGGAAAAAAAGAAATAGAAATATAAATAATGTATAATATAAAATTTTTCTAAAAAGTTCAAGGCAACTTAGTTACCTTAAAATTTCTTTACGCGTGAAAAATGTACAATCTTGATAATCTTCCAATTGTTCCTCGGAGAATGTAGCTACTTTATTTCCCATCGTTCGCTTCTTGAATTCTTTCCTTTTCCTTTTTTCTCTTGTTAATGATTTCGAAGAAAAATAACAACAAAAAAAGAACGAGTGAAGTACTTCGTTTAGAAAAATCAAACGGAGTTACCTCTGAGATGTATTTTATCGTGACTGAAGGGTTGTTACCGGACTTTTACGTTCTGGGATGTTCGATAGGATATTATATAGCCTGACTAGGGTGTGTCTTGCCACTCCCATCTTCACCGGGGTCGATTTGTTATAGAGGATCATATTTTAAGGTATATTTAAGATAACGCATTACGATGCTATACTCATACGGGATCGTACACTTATAACGAGGACTCGCTTTAACGATAAAAACTCTATATTACTTTTCAACATGTGAAAGATGTTGAAAATACTGATTTATATATATAAATATGTATTTTATATATATATATATATATATATATATATATATATATAATACATATACATATATATACATATACATAAACATATATATAAAAAATTAGCATTTTTATTTTACTCTTCAAATATAATGGTCTTCGTACGTTTCTTTACAATCCAATAAATGATTCAAACAGTCTAAAAATTCATCCTCTTCGAGACCAGAATCGGTAAAAGCATGAAACTTTTTAATACTCCGTATTCTCTGTAGTTGATTATGTAAAGACTCATACATTGATGCAAGACTGCTTCCAGAATGTAATCCAGCCATTACTGGAACTGATCGTACATCTTCAAAAGATTAATGTACGTTTGTTTATTAAAATTTGCATTATTTTTATTAAATAGTAGTAGTTATTTAATAATACCTTCTCCTACTGGCCATCCTGCTATATCTCCGGTTTCCGTAACGTTAGTATTAAATATTTTTGGATATGGCTGTTGTATTTTGAGACTTGATTTTATGGTAGACAAATATGTTGCTGATGCATGACATGTACAAGCTAAATAAAGCGTCATCATTTCGTGTACGGTAGAACATCTATAGGCAGGTTTCGATATTTGCTTGATTGCCTCGTGCATCGGTCTCTTCAATCTATCTTCCGATATTCCTCGTAATGCTATACTTTGCATATTTTTATCCATTGGTATATCACAACTGGGTGTCAAACTTGTCCATAAAGAACCTTCGTAATCGTCTAATATGTCTATCAAATCTCGCTTTACTGTCATTGGAAAGGGTAAACTTAGACTGGTTGCTACTGCTTTCCATCCAAGTTTATTAAGATCGGCACATAAATCAGGTAATATTACATTAGGATAATCTTTCCGTCTGTATCTTAAACTCAATGTATCCAATGCAGTTGCCAATATCGAGCTAGTGTGATATTTAAGTTCTAATTCGTAAGTAAGATTGTCAAATTTTCGAGGAGTGCCCATTTGTAGCCAACCACTTTCTCCGCAACAAAGAGGACTAAAGAGTGACGAGTATTCTCCTATATGCTGCCAACATAATGCTATGTTAATAGCTTTAACTAAGTCTGATGCTGATGGTTCGGTGTTCTGACCATTGATACAAGGAAATGCTAAAATACTTTTGCCATATTCATCTCTTAAGTGTTGAATACATGATATACCAAGCCCAGCAAATCCATCTATGGAGTCAACCAATACCTGTTTTTTAAAAAATAATAATATAATGTTTGATTTGTGGTATTATCGTTAGAAAATATACACTTTTTATTTACTTGAAAACCTTGCATTAAATCACATTCTTCTATATAAGATCGTATTCTATCTATAAAATCATCTGAAAATTGTTCTGTGTTCCATAAATTTCTTCCATAGGTGTAAATATCAAATGGATGATTGCTACTATTATGTTCATATTCTCTTACAGTATTAACTGTTCTTGAATGAAATCTAGGCACTAAGTAGTCGACCCATGTATTTACTGAATTTTCAAGATTAAAATCTTGCGATTGTGCTCCTTCTGTAGATTTATCTAAATTTTCTATAAAGGCAGGTTTAGGAAATGTATTTTCCTCTGTGATTTCTACATTTTCTTTATCCCATAATAATGAAGATGCTTCTTCTTGTTGCGGAGTACTGTATAAAGTTCCACTTTCTTTTAAGTAACCTAAAGTTCCTTTCAAATCTACTAATAAAAGTCTTGGAGTAAACGTTATTTGTTTCTAAAAAAAAAAAAAAAAAAAAAAAAAAGAAAAAAAAAATCAGTCTTACTTTAATTTCTTTAATAACATATAAAATTATATTCCTCTTTTAAAATTTTTCAATTACTTTACCTTGAAATTTTCTCCTTCTCTATACAAAACATCATGATTTATCTCTGAAGGATTATCAGGATCATAAGAAAAATTAGTTTCCTAAAACATATGCGAATATAAGTAAAAGTATTGATAAAATAATTTCATTCATAAATAATTCAAAGATTTACGAAATTGCAATAATACCTGAAGATTCCACCAATGAGTGCCAATAAAATTAGAATAATGACCTAATTGAATCGTTAATATCTCTCGTGTTGTCATTTTTTAATAATTCCTTATTTAAAACAACAACGCAAAGAAGATTAATTTAATCTTCGAATTTTGTTACATATGTCAATATTAAAATATTACTCTATGTAATTTAATATAATATAACAATTATATTTGTAACAAGTTAAATAATTTGAATCTCTGCGACTTAACTCCACAATTTGATATATTTTGTCAACTAACCTAATCAAATCTATGATTCTGCCCTCTTTCGTGATAATTCAAAAACAATTTACTCTTACTGTAATAATTGATAAATATGGAAAAAATGAGGCATCAATAGGAGAAGGTATTTTCTATTTTTAATAAAAATAAATAGAAAATTGTATTTTTAACTAAACATTCATTTTTATAATATCTACATGTAACATTTTGTAATATTTTATAACAGTTAGATGCTCCTTTAATACAAATAATTTTGCTATAAAGATGAAATCATTATTATTAATACTCAGACCAATGAATATAAACAAAATCCTTATTTTAACTATGATAATTTAGATAAAGAATCATGAGTTTTGCATATAGTTTAATATTTTATCTATTAACGCATGAAATTCTATTCTTTTTAACATTTTAACTTGATTTTTATTTTTACTCCATTTTATTATATGTTAATTTGACTGTTACATCTTTCTAATCTGAAATATAAAGTATAACAATTATAAACTTTTATAAAATATAAAATATAAATATTTCAAAAAATGTTAGTTAATCTTACATAATTGAAGCTTCAAAATATCAAGTAAAAACAGTTTTAGAATTATTCTCATTTTTTATCTTCTTCCTTTTATAATTTGATCTCTTATATAATCAAAATGTTATCTTACAGCTGGACATTTATTCTTGATGAACTAACAATTATTTCTTTGTTTACTTTTTTCAATATTATTTCAAACATTGTAGCTTTTTTTGTTGGTATTGTATCAACTAAACAGATAAAATCAATAAACATGAATAATCAGAAACAAATATAAGATACCTACATGTAAACACAAAGAAATAGTATGTACTTGCAATATTTACGACAGTTTATACATATTTTCTATTCAGTCTTAGGTTTCACATAGAATTTTGTGAAATTGTAAAAAGCAATTTTACATTAAGACAATGCAATACGAAGCGCTCTTTCTTTCCTAGCTTCTCTGTTAAGTAACTTTTCTCTGTCTCTCTTTTTCAATGGTTTTTGCTTATATATTCTAACATTTTTAATTGCATTCGTATCTCCAGGCATAAAATGTGTTATTCTAGATTCTACTTCTCCAGGTTGTCCTAAACCTTTACGATCCATTTTAAGCGTTGTTTTGATTGGATATTTAATACCTTTTCCAGATGGTCCAAGACCCCCTTCTTCATCCCAACCTGTGTTTAAAAGCATTTGATAACCTTTATTTTGTTTTGATATACCGTATATTGCATTTGGCAGTTTTGGTTTTGTATTAAAAATATGTAAAGTAGAAGCTTCATGCTTTTTCACTGTTGTTTCTCGAAAATTTCTTTTACATATGTCACAATAAAAATTTGTATTTTCTTGTAATTTGCCTTTATCACTATCCTCGTCATTACATGCACATTCCTTACAATTCTTTGATATTTCTGTTATCTCTAATTTATCAGTTTGAGTTTTAATATTTGTAAAATCATGCTTTTTCCTAAGCAAAGCTACTATATTCAAATGATTTCTTTTTAAAGCTAACTGCGCTGCTGTAAGACCTGATTTTTCTTTAATTCTTCTATTTGCTCCTAATTGTAACAAAAATTCAATCACTTCTAAATGACCACAATAAGCGGCTGACATTAAAGGAGTCCAACCAAAGTCATCTGATACATTAACATTCTCTGCTGTAATATGTTTCTGCAAAAATTTCAAATCCTTTTGTTCCACAGCCTTTAATATAGCATTAATTGTAACTTTTATAACTGTATTTTCGGCTGAATGAGTTTTCTTTGGTTGAACTGAATCTAATAGTGATTTCGTATGCAAGATGTTCTGAGCATTACTACTTTTCAGTCTTATAGATGTAGGTTTCTTTGTCGTAACTATTTCACCTTCTTGTTTGATAATCTCTTCATATACTAGTTGTGCTTCTTCTCCTTGAAAATTTAGATCATAATTCTTTTTTTCTGGTAATATTTCATGGGACTCATTTGAACTTTTTACAAAAGCTTTCCATAACATTCCTATAGATGTTTTCTCCATATTATCATTAAAATATCATTGCTAAATATTTCTTTATTTAAGTTTGAATGATTTAGTATAAAGATTTTCCAATACATTCAATAGTTTCTTTTCAGTCTTCTATATTTTTTTTTAGTGAAAGAAAAAATAAAAATAGCTCCTTCTTAGCTCACTGTATTTGTATTTACATCTGCAAAAATAATTTTGTTTATATTGTCTAAAATTAACATCACATATTATGATCAATCAAATTATGAAAAATAAATATGTTATAATATTAATAATATAAAAACTATACCTTTCTATCTGCATGTTAACCTTGTTAAGACATGGGAACAATGAAGAATAATATCCGTAAAATAAACATTTCACTTAATTAACATTAAGCAAAAAGGGTTATAAAACTTTATCTACCAACTGTAAAAGCGCGACGAATCAACTGTGAAGAATTTATAGTATAGACACTGAAATGTAATTGACATCAGAGTATGTTGGAGCGACAGCCAATCAACAAGCTTCGATCAATGCTCGAAGACCGCCCAATCACGAAGATTGTATAGGGGAGAAACTCTACTATCTTTGTTTCGCATCTTAAAATAAATATGCAGAAAAGTTACTAGGTAAAACTCTCAACAACGCAACAATTGATTATACCTAATTGATTTAACAATTGATTCGATTATACTTTATGAAATTGAAAAATTATATTATATGCTTACACTTTGTTAGCAACTATTTAATATTCAAGCAAATAAACTGAACAAATTATTTAAGTCTAGTAAAATAAAAAAAAAACTATAGCAATCTAATATTTGTCTTTTTGTCTTTTAGAATTCTACATTTTTACTACGAAGCGCACGGTATTTCTAATCGTAAACGTGCATTTCTTTATGAGTAAAGTGGTTGTTGATTAATTAAAGTTGATATTATGTTGGCAATACTGTTTGCGGTAATATGTCAAAATCGTGTTGTTATAAGTGTCAAAGTATGTAAAAACTGTCAATTGTATAGTTAATGTATTTAGTTTGGTTGCTATAGGTTTATATATACATTTGAAAGAAAAAATTAATTATTTTATATCTAACGATGATTGAATCATCATCGTGGAACTCCAAAAAGGATGAAACTATATACAAAGCTGCCGGTTCCATGCTATTACGAAAGTATGGACAATTTTTTGACACTTTGGCAGATAGATTTTGGTTAAATGATTCAACCTTGGAATATTTTATGGAAGGTCCTATACGACTTGTCTATCAGACGGTCGAAGATATCAGTATTATATCTTTGGTAGAAATGGAAAGTAAAGATTTATCCAAGTTGCTTGGTGCTGTTGCAGGAACATGTAGAGAAATAAGACTGCTAAAGAAAGAAGCTAATACTTTTTATGCTAAGCTCTTTGCACACAGTGAAAAGAGTATGGACGATGATCTAAAAAACATTGGCAGCCTTTTATCCGATCTCCAATGTTTATCAACTTTTGTAAATAGAATATTGACAGTTTTACAATTGACCACGCAGCAGTTGTTCAGTTTAGCTGGAGGATCTCATGAAATATATTTGCCTGCTTTGATAGAACATTTCATAGACTTATTTATACTTCTTGTAATATTGGATGAAGTTATCGATGCACAACCATCAATATTAAATTATTGGAAGAAGTATAGGATGAATATACGCTCTGTTATACATAGTCCAACACAATTTGGAATACCTGAAGCTAAACTTCATATGCTTGATAAATTACTAAAAGATTTGCAGGAACAGTTATTGAAAAAAACTGTGTTTTCTAAAGCAGTCGAATATGTAATGGATGTAAATAAAGGTCCAATTATGAACGATCAAATTGTTAATTATTTGAAAAACTTGATGTCAGATGTAGAAAGCAAATCTAATGACAATGCTGCATTAAATAAAAATTGGATTAGAGCTAATGTTGGTGTTGTTGTACTAACAAAATTATTTGGAACCTGTGATAAGAAATTAGTCAAACGGGTATCAGAAGCTAACAAAAAGTTTTATGCTGTAACATTAATTGGAAATGTCATTTGGATACCCAGTAAATTTTTAAATGAATTCTTACCGAAGGAAGTTGGGAGTGCTGTTAGTTCACAAATAGGTGAAAAACTTCTTTTAAACAGAACACAAAAATTGGCAGTTACTGTAAATGTTTTGATAAATAAAGCTATGATGTGGTGCTTAGAGATGCAGAGCATTTTAATGAAAGGTAGTCTTCAGATTTCTGATATAGGACACAAACGTATATTACTTACGGATATAATTACGTTATTAGCACAAATTAAGGAAATTATATCTTTTATAACAAATCTCCATGCTAATCTGGTAAAACCAATGAATCGAAACACAGTTCAGCATATTTGTAAACTTATAGAAATACAGAAATCTCTCCAAACATGGTTCTATATATTGGGTCCAGTTGTAGTACAGTCACAAGATCAAGTATTACAATATCTTAACTATTATATTTTAGCTATACTTGTAACAGCCCGAAAAGGTTTAATTCAAAAAGATAGAGGCTATAGTAAAGAAAGACTCGATGCACTATCATTAATAGGACTAAGTATGCGCCTAATAAATGGCCCTGCTAGTGCAGACAGAAGATTAATAATCAGATGTGCTCTTGCGTGTGCTAGTCAGTTGACTGAAACTTTTAAAGATGAGGATATAGTGAAGCTTAAATTTTTATTAGACAATTATGATGTCTTTGCAGAACTTTATGATAATGTTGATGATCTCTGTGATTATTCAGTATTGTTACATCATCAAAATATAATACCTGCATACCTATCTTCTGTAATTGAAAAAAATATCAACATCAGTCATCTAGTTCACTTTTTTGATGCATTTAATAATGTTCTTGATGAACAAGAATTATCTGACATGAGTGAACAACACGTTAAAGATTTAAAAGAAATGTTACTGAAAACTGTACTAGAACCAGCTTGCCGTGAAATTGAAACAAGTCTACGACTTCATGTACATGCACATTTGAAATTAGATTCCAGTAATCCCTTTGAAATGGGTGCCAAAGATGGTGGAAGAATAGTCCATTCATTGCCTTTACCTTTAGCTAATACAATGATATATGCTAAAAGGTTTATTGAACATTATCTGGATGATATGTTTTATAATCTTACCACAGTAGCATTGCATGATTGGAAAACATATAGAACGATGCATGCTTTGGCTAATTACAAATTAAATCTTGATACTGTACACAATCATTTGCCAACACAAACCTTGGAGCAAGGTTTGGATGCTTTGGAAATTATGAGAAATATACATGTCTTTGTATCCAAATATCTATACAATTTGAATACACAAACATTTATAGAACATACAAGTAACAATAAACATTTAAATACCATTGGGATTCGTCACATAGCAAATTCAATTAGAACTCATGGAACTGGTATTATGAGTACTACTGTAAATTTTGTGTATCAATTTCTTCGTGTTAAATTACATACATTTTCGCAGTTTATGTTTGACGAACATATAAAATCTAGATTAATGCGAGATATAAGATTTATTAAATCACAACGTGAAAGTGGAGCTATACCTTATACATATGAAAGAGCAGAAAAATTTCAGAAAGGAATAAGGAAATTGGGAATGACTCCTGATGGATTAAGTTATTTAGATCAATTTCGTCAGTTGATAACTCACATTGGAAATGCTCTTGGATATGTACGATTGATTAGATCTGGTGGATTACATGCAAGCTCAAATGCAGTATCATTTCTACCAGATATTCATTTAAACATGTCATTTGAAACCATGTGTAAAAATTTAAATTATAATGAAACAACGCAAGCTGCTGCTAAACGTTTAGAAGATGATATTGGAAATTTAGTTCATAACTTTACAGAAGGCATACATTATTTTAAATTACTGGTTGATGTATTTGCATCTGCTTTTCGAGATCCTAAATCACATCATTTACAGAAATTCTATGCTATAGTACCCCCTTTAACATTAAGTTTTGTTGATAATTCAGTATCAAATAAAGAAAAGATGTTTAAAAGAAACCAAACCGGAGGAGCTTTTACAGATGACGGTTTTGCGATGGGAGTAGCATATATAAATGCTCTTCTTGATCAAAGTGCGGAATTAGATGCATTACATTGGTTTGAAACAGTTGAAAATCATATCAATGCAGAAAATAAAGATGATCATGGAGATGAAAAGTTGCAACAAACCAGGGCACTAACTTTAAAACGCTTAGGAGAAAGAAGTGCAGAATTTCGATTACTATATTACAGTCTTTCTGGAGCAAGGGTTTTCTTTAAACAACCAGATTCATAGTAATGCTATACAGCTGAAAGATCTGAAATATTTATAAAATCAATTTTACTCTGTTTCCTTTAAAAGAAAATAAGATAATCTTAAGTTCTGATTGTTAAGTTTAACTCTCTTTCATATTTTATATATTTAGTTAAATAAAATCATATATGCAGCCATTGTATGATAATCTATTTCATAAAATTTTCGGACTGTTCTGTATATTTTTGAATTCTTATAATCCTTTGCTATTCATCCTTTTAAAATAATTACATGATATATCTTTTTGGAGTATATAGATAATTACAAATGATGAATAAGGTTAAGGTATCAATTACCATTGCGGGTTAAAATGAATTAGCATTATTGGCATTGCATCACTATCATTTATCTACACAAGTAATGTGTACATACCATACATTATATAATTCTTCTTTCATTCTTTTTTTCCCCCTTTTCATTTCTTTATCACATACAATCAAAGGCTTAGCTTTTTTTCTTATTAGTAATCTGCAAATCAGCATCGTTCAATTTATTCTTTTTCTAACACATGCCAAGGTATCTGTTAATTTTTAATGTATAGTCACTTATATAAACATACTACATTTATCAGTATCACTCCATAATAGTCATTAAGTAGATGGTGGCTAGATTGTATGACTAGACTATATTACATTTGGAGATTCATAACTAGATTTTTATCTTTTTCGTAATATAACGTAAATAAGAATTATAACTATCTGTCACAACCAATTTGTCACATATTTTTCCAAAACATAATATCAACATATGGCTACTTTAATGTAAAGTAAATTGATATAAAATTATTTTTAATACATAGTACAAATATTATTTGTTATTTTATCCTGTACATCGAGTGATAGTTTTCATAATGTCAATATTTTAATAGACATTCAAAACCAGGATAAAAAATATAGTATATATGCATTGAAATAATTACATAAAGTATTTCCAATATCTTATTTTTTCTATTAACTTTTATATGAATATGAATAAACTTGCATTAATTAAAACGGAAGGTTCTAATTTTTTATAAATAATCTATATTTAAAAACATGAGTACTTTTCAAATATATGCAGATCATTTCTCTAATTCCAAGCCTTTCGGTTGCAATATTATGTATATCCATTGTTATAAATAATATCACATAATGTTTACAAAAACTAAAAAGGGATCTTACATTTTATAATTATGTCTTAATATTTTAAGTATGATGCTACAAATCTTTTCTCTTTTACGTAATGCTTCTATCATTATTGTTATTATCAATGTGTATCATAGTATACTATTTTAATTACTATTGTTAGTATTATATGTATTTAAGTGAATAACTCTAAAAGTATTAATTATTTTATGATATTATGTAATCTTTTTTTAGCATATTCTATGACCTTTGCAACTGTGATACTTCACATTTAAATTTAATTATTCTACGAGAATTGATCATCGTATATCTATTCTCTCGTAAATTAAAAATAAACTGTTATATAAGTTATACTATACAGATCTCCTGCAAATATAACTGTAGTGTCACATTATTTATTAAAAGATATATATATATATATCTTTCGTCAAATGTTAATATGTATATGCTTGTCTTCTGAGTGAAATCTAGCAAGCTTTAATGAAACAATTTTGTTTCCAAATAAGTATTACGTTTAAGTATTATGACTTTTAAGACTGTGGTCTAGATGATTCCTCTGGATCTAAAAGATCATCACATGATGCTGTTGGTGGTAATAATTGTCGTCCTCCTCGTTTCTTGCTACGCGTGAATACTTTCGTAAGTTGCGCGAACTTACGACGCGATACTAAAAGAAGATACATTATTTATTATATAGTATCAGTTAAAATATAATATTTAATTACACAACTTACCTTTACCCATATTTCTTAATCTTTCTCTAAACAAATCTTCGTCGTCGTGCCCACTCTGATTGCTGCATTTTTCAAGGCCAGTGCCTTGTAATTTTGAATCTGTTAAAAAAAAAAAAAAAAGAAAAAAGAAAAAACAATATAAAGTATATTAAAAGATATTGCAAATCATAATAAAGATAATAGAATAAATTATCTTTATACTTTATTACCATTTTCTAAAGTAGAAAGGAAATCTTCATTCCAACGTAGCTGTGCCATAAATTCTTCATCTTGAAGAAACATAGCAATTCTTTCATCTTCCAACATAGAATTTTCTTGTGAATATACCCCATCTAAGGTATCCTTGGATAATTGCTGGGGAAGTCTAAGAAATGTATCCGGTAATGGTCCTAATAAAGGAGGCTGCCATTTATGAAGATGTTTCAGTGATTTACTAGAATCCGATTTTAAAGATTTGGTAACATTAGGAAATTCTTCGCTCTGTTCCAATTCACTTCTTATCTTTTCATTTTCATTGTCTGTACTCATAGATAACAATTGGTCAATCGTTGTATCCACAGCTCCTTGATTAGATCTTAACACAGCCTAAAAGAGGGTATAAGGACAAAATTGATTTAATTTATTCTTAGAAATTTGTTGAAATCAATGATATTAGATATTAAAGATATTCTTACTTCGATTACATCATCATCCATTTGTGGAAACATGTTTTTAAAATCAGCCATTGCCTGATAAAACTCCAGGGTGGTCTGTTGTTGTTGCTGCTGTTCTGTAGCTGATGCCATTGTTAAATAGTAAATAACCTGTTAAATTATAACGAATGATTAAATACAAGGAAATATATTGTTTCTTACTTATACAAGTTTGTCATATTTATCTGTTATATTACAGATAATGTAATTACTTTAAATTTATCTTCACAAAATAATATTTCAAAGAGATATCTCTTATCAACTAACAAAAGTATTTTAATTTATGTCATATTAATTAAAAAATTCTTTTATCAAGAAAGAAAGTGATAAAAGTAATCTTATGGAAGCGATCCGTTAAATATTTTTACATCAAAATATTTTTTACAAAAAATATAAAAGAAAAGAAGGAAAAAAGAAAGATTGAAAGGTAAAAAGGAACAAAAAGAAGAAAGAAAGAAAAAAATTATTTACAGAAATACAATTATACTCCACAGACATGTATTATAAACTCATAAATCACAAATGATAATGAATAGTTGACATTTGGCGATAACGTACCGTTCAAGCAAACTTTAATAATAACACATCGCTAGATCAACGAAGCTCGTAAACGTAACAGCGGTAAAAGCATTGCCAATGCCTGTTACCGGCTTACGATTTGTTTTACATCGCAAAATTATTAATGTCAAACAAAAGTTTTATTAGAAATATCTTTCGACAGACAATCTGAGATATTTCTAAACGTTTGAAAAAATAAACAATTTTACACCGACTTTTGACAGAAACATCTGTCAACTGTCAAAGTCTCTTACTGTTCTCTTCTCCGTATTATGAAGGGGACAACTTTTTTTTTTTACGTAGAGTAGAAATATCGAGGAGGGAACATTTATTACGTTAGCATGCGACGGAAACAAAAAGTTATAGTCGCCATATTGATACGTCAATTTTATCTTCGCGGCAAATTTGAAAAATTAATATATCCTATGGATTGTAAACTTCAAGATGATTAATTAAATAATAATACTTCATGCGGTGAATACATTTTTTAATATAAAATAAATAAAATATGTATTATACAAGTGGATAGTATTTCGAGAGGAAAAGGTTAGTAAAATTAAAGAAAGAAAATAAATAAAAATGGCGTAATGAAATGGTGAAAATACGACTTCCGCTGCACAAAGTTGCAAAGGATTTTTACGATTTTTCTCTATTATTACTCTTTCATGGTCTTTCGATTCCAAACCGTGTAATAATTTTTCGACAAGACGAATTTTATAACACGAAGATCTTGAATTATCCTGAAAGGACTGGAATAATTTGTGATGATAAAATTATCATTGCAATTGTAATTAGTAACGTTTTAATAATAATAAAATGAATTGGAACGGTGTACGAAAACTAAACTAACGAATTTAATCAATAAAATACTTTTAAACATGTATTGTGTATTCTAACCTACGTTCATGTTCGCACAATTAGTATAGCGATAGTAACATGGATTACTATATTATTGATTTAAAAAAATTATTTTCTTGTTGCGCCCCAATAAATAAACTCAAACAAGTGGTGCGTAGTAGTTATTTTTGTTATCGAATAAATTAAATAATTGGATAATTCTTATTTACATTTTCTTCAGTTCCAGAAATTGAAGAAAGAAAAGGAAAATGGTATGATTAGTATAGATGTTCAAAAAAAAATTTTAGATAATACAGTGAATAATATCTTGATTAAACAATACCCCGTTAAATATTCCTATCAGAGAGCATTTATTAAGTTATTAATTGGCGAGGTATTAATGTATGTTTTAATATTAAAAAAAAAAAAAACTTATTTATAGCATTCTTTTTTTTTTTTTTATAGTTAGAACAAAACGGTGATGAAATAGACGATGATGTTTTTGTTGCCTATTGCAATTTAGTATCAGTATCTGAAAAAGATCTGCATTATCGTCACTTTTTACAAGAACATGGTGATTTACAATATATTACAATACAAGAAAGTATAAATATTATATCCAAGGGAACAACTGGATTATGCGTTTGGCAGGTAGATTTGTTATAAATTGTTAAAAACAATATTATATCGATTGCATTTTTATATACATATATATATAAACGAACAGGGTGCTTTACATCTGGCAGGATGGTGTTTTAAAAATAGAAATCAGTTTTATGGTAAAAATATCTTAGAACTTGGATGTGGAGTTGGACTAACTGGTTTGAGTATTATAAATGCTTGTACACCCAAGCAATACATATTTTCTGATTGCCATGAAAGTGTTCTAGATATACTTTGTGATAATGTGAGATTTAATTTATCACTTATTCAAGATAAAATATCCGATGAAACTCTTGCATTAAATGATAAATTAAAGTTACGTATTAAATATAATGATTCAGATGTAAAAGTAATAAAATTGAGATGGGAGGATATAAACAAATATATCAGGGAAGATATGACAGCAGTTCATGACGTTATTATAGGTGCAGATATACTTTATGAAAGCACTTCTTTTTATTCATTAATAACTGGATTAAATTTTCTCTTAACGTCTAACAACTATGCCATCATCGCCGCGACAATACGTAATGAGGATACAGTAAAAAAGTTTCTCAATCAATTAGGTATTTTTTTAATAATAAATAAATTATAAGTATTATTAATTGAAAGATTCATTATATTAATAATAATTTTGATTATAGGAGAATATAATCTTACTTACCTGGAATGTGATATACCAGAACAAACAGTTTCAATCGAATCAACTAATGTACCTGTAAAGATACTACAGATATTTAAACAGGATTGAGATTGAATCGAATTAAAAAAAAAATATATATGTATATAAACATTGTTACATTTAATTATTATTACGTTCGTTGTATTATATTAATTGAATAAGAAATATATTTATTTTTTATTGAACCATTAATTATATTTATTACTAATGTTTTATGGTAATCTTTTGTATTTATAAATAACAAATCGCGTTAAAAATATTTATAAAAGTATTAAACGATAACTAGCTTATTTGCAAAAAACTTTATAGCTAATAATATTTAACAATTAATATTTTAATAACTCAAAACCACTTCCGCTTATTGTTGTGGCGTTTGAGTTTCACTTCAGTCTCATCCACGTCCTTGTCGGCATCCTTTTTAGATAATTTTTTAAACTTCTTCTCTTTTATCTTTTCTTTTATTTTACTTTTTTTCATTTTTGTGGAATTAGAAGAAGAATCATTATTACTATTGGTAGCATCGCTTTTGTTTCTAGCTATAGAAGCATTAACGTATAATTATTCATCTTAAAACATTTATTTTACAGCATTATCTTATTAATTTCTACGATATATTATATTTACCAGCAAATAATCCCATATGTTTGTGAATACTCTTATCTTCCTCGACTGCTCTTTTACGATCCATTTCTAAACATTCTACTATTTCATTTCTCCTTTCTACGATTTCTACTAACCTACAAAAATTTAATTTTTATTATATATACATATAATAAAAAAATAGTATAGTGTATTAGCAGTATAATATATATATATATGTATATCATAATCGATCACGTATACTATAATAAAGGTGGTGATCATCTCTATTGAAAATTTATATTATATTTTATATTATATTTATATTATAATACCTTTGTATTAAAGCCTCTTCTCTCTGTTTATCGAAATCCGTTTTTGTAGCTTCTGGTTGGTACATAAGACAACGTATTTGATATTCAACATCAGCATGTTCCTCTTCCAATCTTTGTTGCCTACGTAGTAACATTAATTCAGCTTGTCTCCTAAACAATTCGTTTTTTTCATTGACCAAAGCAAATAATTCTAAAATGAGTTCTTCGACGTCCATACTGAGAGAAGATTCTGAAAGAATTATTTTATTTAACATAAAATTCGAGTGATAAAAAAAGAAACTGTAAGTAATATTTCATTAAGAGTTTACCATCAACTCGTGGCCCTGTTTCACATTTGTCTCTAATTAATTGTTCCAAACGTACACCCTGTCTTTCTAAACCTTGCTGTTGTAATTCTATTTCATCCAATTCTAATTTGACGTCTTTCATGGACATAACTTTGATCTAGAGAAAAGATAAAATATAAATATTAGAAAATACCGGAAAGGACAAATTTTTAAATATTATATATATATACACATATATATAAAGAACAAAAAATATCTGATATATATATAGGTAATTTCAAATTATTTATATATTATAAAGTCAATAATTTCTATTAATTTAATTATAATTTTTTATCTTAAATTTTTAATTATAATAAAATAAATATATTATTTTCTCTATTTTATTAATTTTTTAATATTCATTAAATATTTATTTAAATATTTAATTTATTAATTTTATTATTTAATTAAGTTTTTATATATTATTCTTTAATATATTTTATATAAATTTTTATATATATATTTATAAAACTTCGGAAATAGCAAAAAAAAATATATATATGTATATAAAATAAAATATATAATATATAAATATATCACGAACATGAGACGAAAATGCTTAGCTTCTAAATAATGAAACGATATATCCATACTTTTCTACGGTGTGGTGTAGGACGTGGCGGCGCTGGTCCCTTCTTCCTTTTCCACTTTCCTTGAACACTCTTATCCGGATAAGATTTAAATTGTGGGCTTTCTACGCAGGAAACACTAGTCAAACTCTGTCTGTTTCTGTTGGCCTCGTCCTTGTTATTCTTCTGATCTTCCCACATATTTACACGTGTATCATCGCCGATATCATCGGCCTGATTTATCGGAGATTCTTCAAGAACCAAAGAAGTATTGACGGATGCATTCGGAGTGCTCGTAGGTATAGGTGGAGGAGGAGCTGGCTTCGCCTTTCGTGTTCGTGGTGTAGTACGGGGAGACACGCTCTGATAATCGAAAAAAGAAAAAAAAGAATAAAAGAGCATGATATAGAAAACGGATGAAGGAAAAAAAAAAACAAACGAGACAGTCATTTCAAAGTATATAATATAAGTAAGAAACGTACACGATAGCCAGTGGAAGAGAACAGTTCCTTGGCCGTTGGTGGCAACGGTGCTGGTTTTTTCTTCCTATATGTTCCACCTGGCGTTGAGGTCGATTCCGAACTAGTTATTGAGCTATTTGATGCATAAACGCCTCTACGATTCAAATTGGATTTTCGTTGAATCAATCCCAGCTCGGTTGTATTTCTATGATTAAAAATATGTATTCAAATATCTTTTTGGGATTTGATAATACTTCAATTTTATAGATAAACAGGTACATATTTAAGGTTGTCAGAATATTACGATGAAAGAAGTCATTTGAAGATATGAGAATGACAGTAACAATAAAAAAAAGAAAAAAAAAGTAAAAAGAAAAAAGAAAACATACGTGATAGTACGTGGCTTGGGTATAGGCACTGTACCAGATACCACGATTCGTTTATTCTCCGTATCACTTTCATGTTCATCTTCCTCGTCACTGGAGAATGGATTGAGACTGATCTGTGGTGCAGTCAAACGCCGTTTAGCCGGTAGAACCGTGACTGGTGGTTTCGATTCTGGCAAAGGAAGCTCATTTTCTACTTTATCTTCGTCTTCTTCATCATGAGTAATATCGTCATCAAACGGATTAGTCGAGATCTTGCTAATGCTTTTAATGCTATTATTCACAACAGTATGATATTCTTCCTCATTTTCTTCGTCGCTTTTAAAGGGATTTAATTCTTCTGGATATTTTTCACTTGTCCCATGAGCAGTTAAGAAGGTAAGGCTGCCAACTGAATTATTTAAAGAATCTTGGATTCTACGATCATCCTTAGTTTCGTTACTCTCATCCATGGGACATTTAATAGCTTCCTCCTTTGGCACATTGTTTCTCCTGTTTGCTCTTACAGGTGGGGACGGTATTTGAACTTTATTCGAATCACTATGCGAAAGCGTCGTTTCATTTTGCAAAGGTGTCGCCGAGCAATTCGAATGAATAATTGACTCCGATTCTGGAAGCGAATTATTAATAGCTTCCTCTTTGGAATTCTTGGTATCTTCGATACTCGACAATCTCGGTCGAGGTCGGTCATCGAGATTCGTCGATTCCTCCGTACGAAGGACTTCCTTATTCTTCTTCTTCTTCTCCTCTTCCTCCTCTTCCTCTTCCTCCTCCTCCTCCTCCTCCTCTTCCTCTTCCTCCTCCTCCTCCTCTTCCTCCGCCTCCGCCTCCGCCTCCGCCTCCACCTCATCTCCTTCCTCTAATTCTTCATTCTTCTCTCCAGAGAATATATTTCTCTTTGTCCTTTCATCCTCGATATTCTCGTCATTTCTCTCCGAGAACAATTGACTCGCCATAAAGTCGAGCCTCATTCGTGAGGTCTGCGATATCAGATCTGGTATCTGTGCGTCTACCGATCGTTTCCTAGCAAGAACAACGACATTTTCATCGTCCTTTAATTCTAATACCATCTTCCGTTCTGTTTTTTCTTCATCACTGAGAGACCTTCGGTGGCCATTACCGGAAACTCGGTTATCCACCACCATATCCGTCATTTTCACTTCTTCCTTTTCTTCTTCTTCTTCTTCTCCTCCTTCAACCTCTATTTCTTCTTCCTGTTCCTCTTCTCCTTCTTGTTCTTCCTCGTTACCTTTGTCGCTATCTTTTTCTAAACGACGATTCGTCAATAATGATAACGACGACGTCGATGACGATAAAAAGGTCCTCTCTTCGTCGGGACAGGTCTCGCAGCAATACTGGCCCTCCTCAGTCTCGTAATAACTGTCAGGCATCAATTGGTTCCCACAACGGGCACAACGGAAGCAGGTACGATGGTAGGCTGCGTGTCCGATCACCAGCTTCTCCGCGAGGAAAACCGGAAGTCCGCACGACGCGCACGGATCTCGACGCATTCCCAGACGCGACCCCACCTGTATTAAGAAATTCATGCTTATTAATATTTATCTTTTTTTTTCTTTTTTTCCTTTTCTTATCATTTTTCTTTTATTTTATGTGTATATATATTTTTTTTGTTTGTTTGTTAATCACGTTTTTCTAGAAAGAGAGAGAAAGAGAGAAAGAAAGAGAAAGAATGTTACTATTCTTGATTATTATTGTACTATTAATTAAAAAGAAAATTTGTATTTAAAGCACAAACCTGAAAATGTATTGTACAAATGTGTAATGTGTCTATGTATATACGTCATAATAAAGTCAAACACTTTTTTCTATATTATTTCGTTTGTATTAGATAAGCATTAAGTATTATGGGATTCTTAAATTTCGAAAATAAATTTCATAGATCGAGAGATAAAAAATGACTTTAATTATTTTTATATTATAATTTAATTTAACAAAGAAAATGTTAACTAACGTGAAAAGTAATCATCTATAAAGCATATTCTACGTTATTCTACCCATATGCATATGCGTACTGTCAATGATCATGTCCCCTTTTTTCTATGTTGTAAGTAAATTTCTATAAAGAGAATGATTTTAATTAGTTATTTTGAGTTATTGTTATTATACTATTTATAAAAAAAAAAGAAATTTTCTGATTTTAGCAAAAAAAAAAAAAAATAAAAAAAAATAAAAAAGAAACTGTATTTACGATATATCTTATGTACAACAATAATCAAATCAATTGAACATATTCTATACACAACGTTTCTATTTGTTGCATTTTATACTTTGGCATCATGCTTTCCTCCATTTTATAAATAAATCTTATAGATTGAGAAAGAGAGAGAAAGAGAGAGAAAGAGAGAAAGAAAGAGAGAGAGAGAGAGAGAAAGAGAGAGAGAGAGAGAGAAGAGAGAGAGAGAGAGAGAGAGAGAGAGAGAGAGAGAGAGAGAATGATTTTATATAATTCTCTTAACTATGAATTGATACTATTAGTTAAACTAAACAATTTTATAAAACAAAAGAAAGAAAATAAATGCAAATGAAAGAAAACAATAAAATCAATTTATAATATGTCTATATACACACACCATAATTAAACTGATTTTTTATGTATAAGATACTATACTATTTCATATACCATATATGCATATATTACATATACTTTACGGATGCATATACTGGTTATCACCCTCCATCTTGTAAGTAAATCTTATAGATTAAAAGTGTGTATGTGTGTGTGTATGTGTAAGAGAGAGAAAGAGAGAGAGAGGGAGAGAGAGAAAAAGATAGTGAAGCCCGCTTATTTCCATTACCACTTCGTTACACCTTTTACGTTGAAGAAACGATAGGATAGAGCCGAGTTACGTCGTTCCTTTTCTCGCCAGCTCATATGCAAATTCGACGAGTACGAGTTAACGAGTTTATCTGCCGACTCTTGTTAGGGGACTCACGTTAATACCGCACAAAACCACGACGACATTGTCGCCAGTCGTGTTAATTTATGTAGATTCGAGTTATGTACTTGCCAATTTTTTATTTTATTATTATTATTATTATTATTATTATTATTTTTATTATTATTATTATTGTTATTATTGGTATTATTATTATTATTATTATTATTATTATTATTATTATTATTATTATTGTTACTATTATTATTGAAGTTTTATATTTGAATATGCGTACTTACTGTAATATCAATGAACGATTTATTTGACGATTTTTAGTGTCCAAAACTGAATGTTATATAGAATCCGTATTATAAATAACTATGTGTATGTTAAAAGCTTATGCATGGTGTCCAACATCACTTTATCGATAGTTTTTAAATTTATTTTTAAATAATAAATTTATTATATTATGAATAATAATTATCTTTTCTGCACGATGCAAATTTCTAATCAAAGACATTTTAACATTATTTCAATTGTCAGAACTAAAAATGTTATTAACATATTTCTTGTTAATTTATTTATACTTGTTAATCTATATAAAAAAAGTTAAAAAGTTAAAAATAAAAAAAGAGAAAAGAGAAGAATAAAGAGCTTGAATTATACATTTAAGATCCAAAAAAGAAACACGAAAAATAAAATAATTTTGACAAGTAGATATACCTATTTCTTCTTTTACGTATTAATATTTTATTATTATTATTGCATTTAATTGTAAAGCTAATTTCGTTTTACGAATAAAAACAGAAAGAAAAAAGAACAAGAAAGAAAACATAACTCATTACGATTGATCAATGAATGAATTGCAATTTTTTATTTCGAGCACTAATACGTTTTGTCGTCACCAAAAAGAAAAAATATAAAAAAAGAAAAAACCAAACAAACAGATTAAAAACACACGTTATGAAGAAACAAGTTTTCCTTTTCTTTTTCTTGTTGTTATTTTTTCTTTTTTTTTATTTTCTATTTCTTTCTTTCTTTCTTTCTTTCTTTTTTTTTGTTTTCAAAAATTCATCCCAAAGGCGGGAGAACGAGAAAATAAAGACGCAATGCAGAAGTATCGTGTGGTGGTTGGTACTACTCGAGTCAAGTGGAGAGAAGAAGAGACACTACGAGAGAGTGTAGTGACCGTGCGCCCGATTTCTATTCGCTTCTCATCGACGCGTGCGTTCCTCCTGGCTTTCCTTCCTTCCCTTTTGTTTTGTTTTGTTTTGTTTTCTTTCCTTTTCTTTTATTTTCTTTTATTTTCTTTTCGTTTGCACGCACGAGCCAACGACGTATAAATAGAATAGCGTGCCACCGTGCCGATAGGAACCTATAACCGACGCGTCTCTTAATCGTTTTATCTCATTTTCTTTTCCTTTTTCTTATTTTCTGGTTTCTTCTTGTTAAGTTTCTCAACAAGTTTTCATTTTTTTAAACCAGTTAACAACACGTTGACCGTCACGAATGTTTTGTTAATCTCGTTTAATTTAACGTTCGTAGCCGTAATACAATTATTATTATTATTATTATTATTATTATTATTATTATTATTATTATTATTATTATTATTATTATTATTATTATTATTAACACAGCTATATTTATTGATAATTTATTTTATTTTTTATTTCAATGTTTAATTTGTTGAATTTTGTTTATTTTATTTTCGGAGCTATAATAAAATGTTTATTATTATAAATATATTTATAATGATAAGTTATTTCTTTGTTCGGTATAATTATCCTACAATGCGCTCGCACTTTATCTTAAAAAAGTATTAATATGCTAAAAACGTTAAATTTTTTTTTACGAAAATGTTAAAAAAATTGCAGAAACAATATTCTCAATATTTACGATCGGTCACATTTTTTTATTTATATACTATTTTAATAAAGTTCATAGGTAATTTTAATTTCTATGAAATATTATGAAATCAATGAAGAGGGACGAACTGTGGTGATTAACATTCAAAATAATAATTTACGTATACGTAAGTAGACATTGTTTTGCATTCATATTTAAAAATTGAATTAAATTGATCAATTGAATAGAATATTTTTAACAACGTAATCAACGTGTTAATCTTATTCATCTTATTATCTTTAAGATTATTCGTCGATAATCTGGTACTACGTAAGTCAATATTTCTTACGAAATGCTAGAGAAAATAAAATAAAGTATTATTCGTTTCGAAAGCCTGCAGTTAACGAGAATTTTTAAAATATTTAAAAATTGCTAAAGATAATCAAAACTAATCGAAGAAAAATAAACTGACGACAATTTGTGTATCTTTCAAAGTTATGTTGTACTATATCTTTTTTTTTTATAGTCGTTGACAAATACAAAATGTAAATAGGAAATTCTAAAAGGAAACACAAAATACAATTTACACGTATTCACAAATTCAAAAGATTCTTATCCGATCTTTCAAATCTTTCATTTTTAAAAGGATATTCGAATATTTGACTATTTACGTAATGTACGTATAATGTTATATATTACATACATTAAGAAGGGAACGAATAAACAATAATTTCTTTGGCTTATTTAAAAAGAAAAAAAAGAAAAACAAAAAGAAAATAAAGAGAAAACGAAACAAAGAGACAAAGAGAAAAGGAATTTCTTTAAATTATTGTAGTACATGTACCTTTTATTACGAACATAACCTAAAATTTAATTCTCGTTTTTTCCAATAAGATTAAAAAGAAAAAGTATATATATATATATATATATATATATATATATATACGTATATAAAAAAAAGAAACAAAAAAATTATCGAACCCACTTATATAAGATAATAATATATAAATAAATAAATAATAAAATAAATAATAAAATAAATAATAAAAATAAAGATAAATAAATAAATAAACAACCAAAAAAAAATAAAATAAGCGAAAGGTGTTTGATGTTAATGGATGTTACTTGGAAATAGGGGATTTAATTTTGCAACGATATTACGTCATGCATATCAAAGCGTAATGAAAAAAAGAAAAATAAAGATTGAAATAAAAAAAAAGATAGAGAAAAACATATGATAACTAACAAGAGCATGCAAGATTTCCCCAAAAAGAAAAGGAAAACAAAAGAAAAAAAAAAAGAAAAAGAAAAAATAACAAAAAAGAAACCGAGAAAAAGAAAAGAAAGGAAAAGAAGAGAAAAGAAAAGATAAAAAAAAGGAAAAAAAAAGATACAAGCAACAAAACAATAAACGACAAAGCGAATTACCTTCTAGCAGAATATTTCAGGTTTATATTGCCCCATTAAGTCCAAGCTTTCCTCCTGGGGAACAAAAATAAACGGTGAGAGAGGAGTTAACACGTGTTTCTAATAAGAGGACGAGAGCGACGAATGGCTGGTCGCGTTTAGTTCGTGCGTTTTAAATAATAGACTGACTTTTCGTCGGTATTAAACAACGAAAATAAGTAAGAACGATGATAACGGTAACAATGTCAACAATAACAACGACGACGACGATGACGACGACGAGAACAACAACGTGGACATTGAGAGTCACGCTTGTGAGGAAACGATGAGTCACTTTTACAATGGCCAACGGTAAAAATTATATAAATCTTTCGGAATGACACAATGTCTGTTCCATTTTCCATAACCATGATAAGATAACGAAACGAGCGTTGTACAGTTGAGAGGGTAAATATGAAAATTTCGACGAGGTTACCACTTAAATGATAAATTGTATTTTTGACCCTCTTTAATCTCTTTAAGTTCTTTTCTTTTTTCTTTTATTTTCCCTATGTAACTTCAAAAATATACGTTCATACATCTGTATTATTTTAATCTTATTTTCAATTTTTCTTTCTTTCTTTTCTTTTCTTTTCTTTTTTCTTCCTCTACGACTTACCGCTGACTTTTCATAGTTATATCATTCTTTTATAATATACTTTGGATTCAGTGTCAACTTTAGACTTTTTGAATTGTTTATTTTTTTTTATTTTTTTTATGTAATTTTGAAATCACACGCTCATAAATCTGTATTATTTTAATCTTATTTCAATTTTTCTTTCTTTCTTTTTTCTTTTCTGTTTGCTACGACTTATCATTGACATTTCTTTGTTATATCATTCGTTCATAATTAATGAATTCGGTTATGCTGATTTGTTATATATTTTATATATTTGTATTTTTCGACAAATTAAAGATTTATATTACCTTAATAAACAAGAAAAATATTGTTTAATAATTATAAAAATTTGTATAATTCTTTTTTTTTTTTTTTTTTTTTTTTTTTTATTGCGTTTACTTAACAATTTTTCTTTCTACCTGTCACATCATATAACTTTTTAGCTGGATGAAGATAATTTATGTCGAGTATTTTTTAAAATATTTGCATTTCTTTTTCATATGTTTTACATAAGAGAATTGAAAAATATAGGAGAAAAAATTTGAAGCGCAAAAAAGAAAAAAAAAAGAGATATTAATGACTATATATAATTATATCAATAAGAATCTTTGTTAGATACTAAATGATACATAATAAATCCTTATACGAAAAAGGAAATACTTTATTCAATAGAAATTTCTATTGAAAAATTATAAAGTAGTGAAAAAGAAAAAAAAATTTCTTTAGACTATTCTATTCTAAGATATTATATTAAAGAAAAAATTAGTTGTTACACACGAATTAAAAATAAAATAATTGTGTGTGATAATACTATTGATAATATTTATATCACACACACACACACACACACAATATCTGCTAAAGTCCTAATTATGACTTCAAAATTACACATCTCACTTTTTTTTTCTTTAAATAAACAAAACGTATAAAAATTATAAAGATCAATATTCCCTATTCAAAGTTGTATATCTGTTAATTCAACATTAGATTAATTTTGTTGTTGAATTAATTTAATTTTTAAAAGTAAATTAGAATCACAGAGAGTCAATGTATAACAATGAATATTATATGCCTCCTTCAAATATAAAATTAATTTTCTCGCAAATTATGCGGAAGATTAACGGTTCCGGTAAAACGCATTATAGGAATGTATTATTTCACTTTGAGAAAGAGACTAAGCTAGAATGATAGAATGAATGTACGAAAGTATGTACAATATTCGTTTCGGTAGAAACTCGTTGACACATATTCGAGACTCGTTATTTCATTATGGTTTTACAATGACCAATGGAGTAGCTTAATGGCCTTTCATCGCGTTACCACTCGTCTTTGATTGCCCATTTATAATGAAAGAGATAAAAATAAAAAAAGTACAAGAAAAGAGAGAGACAGAGACAAAGAGAGAGAAAGAGAAATTTCGATGTATTTCGGAGATATATAATGTAATGTACGAGAAAGAGTGAGAAAAAGAGAGAGAGAGAGAGAGAGAGAGAGAGAGAGAGAGAGAGAGAGAGAGAGAGAATTATGCAAAAGTGCATCTCGATGATGGCATTTCGTTGTTGCAATGGTTACAAGAAGAATGACGAGTCGATGTCAAGGTAAACTGCATACGAAGCGAACGTATGTATGTTCCTCACAATACATAGCGTTATTTTGTTTTTTTTCTTCCTTCGAAGAACTTTTACGGATTACTAGAGAAAGAAAAAAACAGAAGGAGAGAAAAAGAGAGAGAAAGAGAGAGAAAGAGAAAGAGAGAGAAAGAGAAAGAGAGAGAGAGAGAGAGAGAGAGAGAGAGAAAGACGGATGCATCATATCGGGGTGCGCCCATGAACGACCTATATATCGAGAAGATTCTCGAGAGCAGATACTCTCTTCGAATGTTGGAACGCAGTTGATTGCGAAACAGAGATATATAAGAAGGTGAGAAAGATAAGAATCTTCTGCCTTTCTAAAGGCACACGATTGATCGATCGATCAAGAAAAATGATACAATCGAGAAGAAAATGTGAAAGAAAAATGAAAAGAAAAGGAAATGAATACTGGCGAGAAGGGGTGTGGATGAATGAAATAAGAAGAGAAAATGAAAAGAAAAATAAAAGAAGAAAAGAAATAAAGAAAATGAAACAGAGAAAAAAAACAAGGACGTAAAGTGATTTACAAAGAAAGAAAAAAGAAAGAAAGGGGAAAAAATGAAAGGACAATTATATAGAAAGACGAGGGAAGAAAATGAAGAGAAAAAAAAGAACGAAGAAAAAACAAGGAGAGAGTGATAAGAAAAAGGCAAAGAAAGAAAATGAAAAGGAAATGATAAAGAAAGAAAATGATTTAAAAAAAAAAAGAAAAAAAAAATAAACGAAAGATAGAAAATGAACAAAAAGAGGGGAAAGAAAATGTAATGAATGAAATGAAATAAATAAAAAAGAAGAAAAAAAGAACCAATGAAGAGAAAAAAACAATCGCCATTAATTTGATCTCGGTCACGTGAGAATATCCTCCGCCTCTTTTTATTCCTCGTAGGAGTCTATATCTCAATTACTTCTATTTAAATAATAATTATTATGAAAAAAGAAAGAAAGCTACGATATAAAGCAGCAGCGTATAGCAACGGCGTATAGTGACGCTATAACGATACGTTCCCGTTTGTTTGTATTTTGGATTATTTGGAGTTGATGATTGCGATGAAGAATTTCGCAATGGAGATATACAGGGCGGGCAAAAATATTCCGACTTAATTTTCAAATAAAGTTGTATTAATGAACAACGAAATAAAAAAAGAACGAGATTCTTTTTTTCTTTTTTTTTTTTTTAGAGAGAATTGTACGAAATTTTGAGTTACGAGAGTTGGTTAAAAAAAGAAAGAAAACAAGTATAAATTTTCTTTTTCTATTGATTATTAAATGACATTAATTTGAAATATTTAATGAAAAAAATCGAATTAATTTCATTTAAAAATCGAAGATCATCCGGACAGCGTTACTTTCAACATAGATATTTCAACATAGAAATAAATAAATATTCTTTTTTTTCAAGTTTGTTCGAAATATTTTAACATACCCTGTACATAAATAATATTATGATTAAGCTCGGCGAGTAAAAAAAGTTGGTAGAATTGAGAAAAAAATGCTTCCTCGAACGATGCTTTGATCAAAAGCTTTAAAAAAAATAAAAAGAAAATAAATAAATAAATAAGAGCTCCACAAGCCTGCTGCTGCGCAACAATAATAATAATAACCATAACAACAATAATAATAAAATAATAAAATAATAATAATAATAATAATAATAATAATAAAGATAATAATAATAACTACGAAATATTAAATAATAAATATTAAATCAAATAAAAAAAAATATATATATAATATATTAAGAAAATAAAACCGACAAAAGAAAGTTACGAGAAGTGAAAGATTTTTTTTCCCCTTATAGTTATAATTAAAGTCTGTTATTTTTTTTATTATTCTTAATTACTTTTTTCCTTATATTTCTAATGTTCTGATTCAATTGCATTGTTTCAAAACTTCTATGTATCGATACCTTGGCTTTTGGTGATTCTGGAACCGGGGCGATTCTTTCTTCCGTTGTTTCGACTGTTCTGTTCGTCGCTAAACGGCTAGGAGACGATCCTGAAATAAATTGAAACTGGCTTTAAATACATCTTCAATTTTTACATTATTAATTAATTATTATTCGTAAACAATAATTTTAGAGATTTTTATTTTATCAACATTTCTTCTTTTATCGTGCACTTAATGACTATTGTTTCTCATAACGAGAAATTTGAATTTCACGATTTTTGGAATACCGATTATATATTTTGTAGAATCGAAAAAAAGAAAAAAGGAATAAATATAAAAATACTATACTAATGCAAAAAAAAAAAGAATTCCAATAAAATTAAATAATTCGTAATTTCATTTCCATTAATAATAAGATCGAATAATCATAAGATTGAACAGATATGAAACGATATTGATAAACGTTATTAAATATTACAATTAAAAATTCGTTAAAATAATTATCATAAAAACATGACACTCATAGAAAACAGAAGAAGTATTTTTAAATGTGATATTAAATTCTTCGATTATAGAACAACGGATGGAATATAACGTTATAAATATAATAATTTATAATTAATTTTCAACATCTGTTATCTATAATAACTGTGAAAAGAGATGAAACAATATTGATAAATATTAATAAATGTCAGCAAAATAATAAACGATATTTTAACGATTCAAAATGTCAACTCTCTCTTATACACACTCATAATACATACACACACACACTCTCTTTCTCTCTCTTTCCCAATGCCTCCGCATTTCTCCCTTTTCTCTTAGTATACATACATAATGACGACAGACATAGCAGCATACAGCAATATGTTAATTGAGAATCTTAAAAGTATATACTCCCGTCTGCCAGCTGAGTTTCGCAATTACTCATAAACTTTGACAGGCAGGAAATTTAATTTCACCAACGAGTTACATTTATATACATACATATGTTCCGAAGACTCGACATATTATTAAACATAAATTCGATCGTTAATCGTCATATCTGTCTTCTTGTCTCTCTTTCTCTTTCTCTCTTTTATAAATACGAGAACATTTTCTATATCTGATAAAATGTAACACCACCAACGAGATTATTGCCATGTAACGTGTCGTATATCGAACGTATTGAGAAAAATGAGATTAAAGTATAGCAAAAATGCAAAGAGAGCTCGTTGTTATGAATACAAATGAAAGATATTATAACGATTGAATGTTGACTTTATGGTTGTCACCTCGCTTTGATCTTTTGTCATTGTTGTTTTCGTCGCAAACACGGAACGCTAGAGGAAATTGGATCGTGATATTGAAAATAATACGTAGTTACATTTTCCTGTCCTCGATGAAGAAAAAAAGAGAGCGAGAGAGAGAGAGGGGAGAGAGAGAGAAGAGAGAGAGAGAGAGAGAGATAGAACACAATGTAAATTTCATGATCTAGACGTACGATAACAACAAGGCGATTCAACAAGTGTCTAGAAAATACTATGTATCGTTTAACGTAAGTACATATTTTTGAATCTAAGGGCAAATAAAAAGGAAAGAAAAAGGAAGAGAGGGAGGGGGAGAGAGAGAGAGAGAGAAAACGAGAAATTCGAACAAAATGAATAGAAATCTGTGGAGAACTCAACAAGTGGCCGTTCAAGCTTTTAAAGTCATCCTATACGTATATTTCTGTATACTATTAAATATATATATATATATATACGCGTATCAATATGTACTAATAAGAACTTAATTATCACCTAACAAGGACACTCATAAAGAATTTCAGCAACTTTATTTGCCACGAGCTTATTAATAAGTCAAGAAGCAAATTTTTTCTTTGGACGAGAAATCAGAGACATCTTTTTGCGAAAGAAACTTTCTCGTGAGTTTATAGAGTCGTACTTGTTTATCACCGTTTTTTAAATAGTCGTAATAAATTAAAGTTCAAAAAAAAAAAAAAAAAGAAAAAAAAGAAAAAAAGAAGAAAAGAAAAAAAGAAAAAAAAAAAAAAGAAAAGACCGGATAAACGTTCATCATTCAAGGAACTTTCTATGTTATCGTAGAACTTTCCAACGTAAGAATTTTTTTTCTCTTTTTTCCTTTCGTTCGTTCGTACGTTCGTTCATCGAATACGAAAGAGCGCAAAAAAAAAAAATACAGAAAAAAAAAACAAAAGAAAACGAAGAGAGAAAAAATGTGAGTAATTAATTCCGCGAGCGTGTTTTGTCTTTCACGATTTTCTTCTTCGTGGATTTTGACGCACGGCTCTTGTACGAAAAAAGAACAAGAAAGGGCCATTCTTTTCTCCGTGGCGTTCATTATCTCGAACGAGCTGGTTCAAGAGAATGAGGGATTAATCTTAACGACAGAGGAAACTGCATGAGAGACGTCAATCTGCGAGAAACAATGGAAGTTGCACACATATATATTCATATATATATATATATATATATATATATATATATATGTATATACACAGATGCGTGCACATATACAAATATAAATATAAATATATATATAGGCAATTCTCAAGTGCATCATCATGAAAGGGAGAAAGTAAGCTAGTAATTCACCAACGTTCTATTTATAAATATATTTGTATATACTGAGAGTACTGTAATTTGTATGGAAAAGAAAAAAAAATTTTTAACTGGAAAAGAAAGAAGAAAAAGAATAATAATAAACGTAGATTTTAACATTGAATATTCTCGACTCCATCGTAAATTTATAACGACGAACTTTATCATTCTATGCGCACTGTCATTCGCATGAAAAAATAAATTAAAAACAAAAAAGGAATAATAATAATAATATAATAATAATAATAATAATAATAATAATAATAATAATAATAATAATAATAAACATAGATTATGACTTTGCATATTCTCGACTCGACTAGTCGTAAATTTCTAACGATGAAGAACTTTATCATTCTATGCATATTGTCATTTATATGAAAAAATAAATTAAATTAAATTAAATTAAATTGAAATTAAAAAAAGAAGTGATAATAATAAACGTAGATTATGATTTTGAATAAACGAACATTTCTAACGTTAATGAAATTTATTATCATATGCTGTAATTCGTACGAAAAAATTAATTAAAATAAGAATAAACGTATGGCATACGATTGTTGAATATGATCGGTTTGATGATCGAAAATTTTTAATAAAGAAAAATTTTATTACGTTAATTCTCTGCAAACTAATTTTGTTTTGTTTAAAAAAGAAAGAAAAAGAAAAAAAAAGAAGAAATTAATATCATATAACACAAAACTTTTACGTATAATTTGTACTAATATTAACTATACCATATACTTATAATGTAACTTATACTTAATCTCTAACAATTAATTTTTTAATAGAAAATATTCAAAGACTGCGTTATCAAATTCTAAATCTACGTTTGAATACACAAAATTTCTCTTTGAAACAAATTATTACGAAATATTTTCTAGCTCACGTTTTTTCGATTTTTTAATGTATTTAATATTAAAACAATCTTTTCTCTTAGTTTCTTTTTTTTTCTCTCCATTATACAAGGTGATACTTTAAATATGATACGAAAAAATATTAACGAAAGAAACTGTTTTATAGAAATCCAACGATGTATTGATTAATGACAAAATATTTTTGAAATTTCAAGATTATCGATGAGTGGACATATTTTTATTATCACATTGTTGCTGTATATACGCAAAAAAAGATTTACCAATATGAATTCGTACTTTCTCGGATGACCTTGAACAAGAAAAAATGTCGTTTATTGTATTTATCGCGATATTATTATATTAAAAGAGATATTTGAAATAATTCTAATTAACTTTAATACATTTCGAATTCGAGAACTAAGACGATAGTGTCTTATTTATCTATAAAAAAAAATTATTCTTTAAACGTATCCAAAAATATATCGTAATCGAACTTTATCGAAGTTAATGAAAAAGAAAAACCTGAAGAAAAAATGAATATCATTAAATTCCTACTTTTACAAGCTACAAAATTCTATGATAATAAAAATATAGATCAATTAAAACAAAGAAATACCGATGGATGAAGTCTCGAAAAATAAAGCGAAAAAAAAAAAAAAAAAAAAAAAAAAAAAAATTATATCTCAATAAAAATATCGTCCTCTTTAAATCAATCAATTAATATTTTTCTTTGACATTTCTTTCTTCCTATTTTTTTTTTTTTTTTTTTTTTTTAATATAATCAAAACAACGATGTATTATAAACGAAGTGGCTATTATATTGTCAATGAAATTAGGTTAAGCATCCTGTATAATCAAAGATGGATAGTGCACGTTGCACGACGTACCATCTTCTCTCCTGAAACGCTGCAACCTATTTGGCCTATTTAGTCACGACAAGACGTTAACTCAATGCGACGTTTCAAACGTCACGTCCGTCGATCGGACGTAGCGCAACACCACCAACCACGAATGGCCTACCACTAAAATTGTACGTGACGGATAGACAACTCGATTCTCGCTACAAGGCAATACGCATACGTGCAAGAAATTACTCTACTACGGATAATAATTTTCATTTTCGTTCAAGTATCTATCTATTTCATTCATGGATTAACGATTTTCGAAAATATATCAGAACGATCAAATTAAGTTACATAAAATTTTTCAATAACATTTCTTTTTTTCTCTTTCTTTAAATTGATAAATTTAATTAATAATTAAATTAATTACATTCCTCGAAATCATAAGTTTATTTTTTGTATTCCTTTCTTTTCCTTTTATTTGCTATACTACGAATTACTAATACTAATTTTGGAGTCGAGTATTCATCCAAGCCATGCATGAATTAACGACTTTCGAAATATGATCAAATTAAATGTTATGAAATTTTTTTTCTCTTACTTTAAATTCTTCTTTCTTCTTCTATTTTTTTCTTTTCTTTTTTTTATGATTATTTCTATTCGCTATACTAGGAATATTAATTTTAATTCTCAATTAAGTATCCATCTATGCAATGGATGAATCAACAATTTTCGAAATATGTTAGAAGGACTAAATTAAATGTTATGAAATTTTTCAACAAATTACTTTTTCTCTTTTTTTAAATTGATAAATTTAATTAATAATTAAATTAATTAAATTCCTTGATAAGTTTGTTCTTTTTCTTTTTTCTTTTATTACTTCTATTTGTTATACTAATTGTTGATTAAGTTAATATCTATTTAATGCTAATGTATAGATCAACGACTTTCAAAATATGTCAGAAAGATCAAATTAAATGACATGAAAATTATCAGCAAATCTTCTTTCTTTAAACTGACAAATGTGATTAATAATGAATTAAATTAAATTAATCGATATCACATACGTTTAGCATATTCTTTCTACAATTGTATTTCTTCTATTGTTGAAATTAATCAATGACGTAAGCCAGGGAAAATAGCAACAATACGATTGGTCGAACAAATACGCGAAAGAGAAACTTTGATTTGCTATTAGTAATTCTGAACTTCTACATTAGGAAAATAATATTAACAAGTGCCATGGGGTGATGCTGACTATACGAACTTGTTTCTAACTATCTTTTGTTTACACTATAGCGAACATAATATAATAATTTTGTTGGCAGAGAAAGAGAAAGAGAACGAGAAAGAGAAAGAGAAAGAGAAAGAGAAAGAGAAAGAGAAAGAGAAAGAGAAAGAGAAAGAGAAAAAGAATGAGAGAAAGAGATAATAGAAACAATTTTCAAATGTAAAACTAAGAAGATAAATTCAAAAGCGGAACAGTCATGAGCAACACCAGTTGTATTTCTGAAATAAACTTCGAATTTTCCATCTCGTTTCTCCTTCTAGTTTCTATTTTCTGTATTCTCTCTTCTTCATATTTGATTCGTTTATACTCGAAAGTTCGTCCATATTTCTTCCGTCTATACGTAAGGAAAAGTTTCGTTATTAGTTTTAAAGTCGACTGAAAAGATAAATATCACTAGTAAATTAGTTATTATTGGGATATGTAAAACGTGTGTATATGTAACAAAAAAAAAGATCAAAAGAAAAAGATTAAAACAATAATTAATATTATATATATATACATATAAATATAAATAAATAAATATATATATATAAATATAAAATATATAATAAATATATAAAAAAATATAAATATATATGTATATAAATATAAAAATATATATATATATATATAAATAATAATAAAAATAATAATAATAAGAAGAAAAAGAACAAAAAGGAAAACAAGATCTAATTCAAGTTATATTAAAAAAATTACAAAAATTTATGAGTTTGATGTCGACGGAGCTATTTACTTCCATTGGATAAATCGATTAATAATTTACATGCATGAACAATGAATACTACACCACTGTCTCAGGATTCCAATAAAACGTCGAGAGTTCTTTAACGAATTATCTATTGATCGGCATGCATATTTCTTTGTAATATTTACTTCATCTTTTTCTTTTTTATTTTTTTCTTTAATTATTATTATTATTATTATTATTATTATTATTATTATTATTATTCTTATTAACCCCCTATAAACTTCGAAAATGTATAATAAACTTCGTATATGTATTAAAAAATAATTTTATAGCAATAAAATGAAATAAGATTTAAAATATATTTTTATAATATATTTTAATATTTTATATAAAAATATATTTTTAATAATATTTAAAAAATATATATATATATACATATATATATTGATTATGCAAGAGGTTATATGACGTCGTTACAAAGGATTAACATAAAATTAATTTTTCTATTAATTCTAAATATTTTCAAGCAATTCGTAGAATAACTTTTTTAAAATAGATTTTCTATTTGTTTTTTTTTTCTTCTAATTGTTAGACATCGCATATAAGTCTTACCTTTGAAGGTTTGATAGAATTGTGAGAGATAGGTTAGAATCGATAATCGATCAGGCACGGAACAGGAAGCCATGTCTTCGGCATCCAAAAGAGCGGGTATTCCTAAATGCTGCTCGGCGATTCTGAATGCCAGCTCGTTGTTTCCATAGACGTCGTCCTTGTTAAGGCTGTTGAAATCGCTGCGAAATAAAGACGAAAGGTTAAGAAAAAAGAAAAAAAAAAGAGAGGAAAAAAAGAAAAAAAAAAAAGAAAAAAAGAAAAGGAGATTGAGATCAAGGTTAAATTCATTAACAACGTTAACGCCGTCGACGTCGCTGTCGTCGTGCAAATGAGTTTTTCACGGAGCCTTCAATAAGCATTTTTTCACAACGTTCAATTATTATTATTATTATTATTTATTATTATTATTATTTTTTTTATTATTATTTATTATTATTATTAACATTTCATATATTATCTAAGATTGTTATTAAATAATATTATTAAATATTATTACAAACTCACTTTTTATTGATTTTTAGTGATCATAATATTATTAATATAAAAATTTTATTATTATTATTATTATTATTATTATTATTATTATTATCATCATCTAGAATATTATTATAAATATTGTTATTAATTAATATTATCATAAATTCGTTTTTCTTTCTTTATTAATGATATTATTATCATTATTACTATTAATATTAATATTATTATACTCACCTCATATATTATATTATTATAATTATTGTTAATATATATTATCTTTCTTTCTTATTGATAACTACATTACAACATTATTATCATAAAAGAATATATCATCAAAAAATTTTCCTTGATCGACAATGTTTTAAAACGACGTTCCTTTCTTTTTTTTTTTTTTTTTTAATCAAAAATATACCTCCACAAGCAATCGTACCAAAGTAATAATAACTACAAGGTTCGACCAAATGCTAATCTTAGTTGACATTGTCAACAAAAAAATCGACTAATATTCGAACGTAATATCGGCATGGAGTAGTGTGAAAATCGTTAATAAAAGGAGATTAAATGGAAACGTTATATCAACGCGAAATGACATTTTATCGGTTTCAGGATTTTCCGAGAAAACGTGCATATTTTATCGTGAAGAAAAAGAAGCAGGAAAAGAAGAAAAGAAGAAAAAAAGAAAAAGGAGTGTGTTGTGTGTGTATGTAAGAGAGAGAAAGAGAGAGAAAGAAAGAGAGAGAAAGACAGAGAGAGAGAGAGAGAGAGAGAGAGAGAGAGAGAGAGAGAGAGAGAGAGAGAGAAAAACGATAACATTATTCTTCGATTTACTTTCTACGTAACTACTACCGCAAAAAGAAACTGCTCGGACAAGGGCTATAATAAAAAAAAAACGAGCCTTAGCATTACTGAAAGATGCATAGAAATCAATGCGGTAGTAGCTTGTTCGTAGAATCATATCGATCGGTCTCTCTCTCTCTCTCTCTCTCTCTCTCATGTAGGGGCGAGGTTCGAGATTCCACAAAGCGACGAATATATGATTTGTCAAATTCGTGGATGGAATTTGAAGAACACGAGTGGAGATATCGATTATTGATTTACTGTGCTACCGAAGTGTTGAAAAATGAGGTTTGATAAAATTAGAATTCGACGTTCCGAATACGTTAATCGATAATTAATTAATGATTTAATTAAAAGGTTCGAAATAACAAATATTAAAAAAGAAAAAGTATAAAATTTAAATTAAGTTAAATTAAATTAAAAAAGGAAAAAAGGCTAAACGTAGATGAATTCGTACGTATAACCAAATCTATTTTTCTTTCTATTTTCTTTTCTTTTGTCTTTGCTATTCACATAACTAAAAAACGTTTCTATTTTAAGTAAATCGATATATGTATGTATGCATGTAAGTATGTATGTATGTATGTATGCATGTAAGTATGTATGTATGTATGTATGCATGCATGTAAGTATGTATGTATGAATGCATGCATGTAAGTATGTATGTATGTATGTATGTATGCATGTAAGTATGTATGCATGCATGTATGCATGTAAACATGTATGTATGTATGTATACATGCGTTACCGGTGGCTTATTACTCGCCCATTCCGAGCAACGAGCATGAAATTCTAGGTCGAAAGTCGTCAGGACATTCGACATTGGCACTTGACCTCACTTCTACACTACACGGTCGCATCTTCCTATCAAAAATTTTTCCGACCGTTTTTATGATCCTTCTAAACCCTTTCCCCCTCTTACCCCACCTACACCACCAAATCATCCCTTTTTCTACTACTCCATATGGAAACGATGAAAACGCAGAGAGATCGACGATTACGCTCGAATTCCGACGCAAAGCGTGTACTTGTCATACTGAAACTGCTTTCCGACGATATTGAAACTAAAGCTGACCTTTCGAGAATCACAAAATGTTGGCCATATTATTTATTTTTTATAAAGTACCTAATCTTATTTTTTTTCTCTCCTTTTTCTTTATTGCTATAATACTCGTTATATGAACCGTTTATCCTGAAAGCGGTCTAAGTCCATTTTTCAAGAGAAAAAAAAAAGAAAAGAGATTAAGTTAAAGTTTATAATAATAACAATTTTAGGTGATATTTTCGTTTTTAAACAATTTACAGACAAAAGAAAAAAGAATGGATTTTAACCATTTTCAAAATAAACGGCTCATATATTATAAATAATATGTATATACAGGACGTCTGTATATATGTATATGAAATATAAAAAATAATGATAATAATGTTTTATACATAAATATATATAAAACAATGAGATATAAATATACTAAGTGAGTCAAGAAATAATTCTGTAATTTTTAGTCTTATTAATATTCATTTTTATATAATTTTGCAATAATAATATTTTTTTTATTTGTAAATAATAATTTTTTTAATTGTAAATAATATTTTATATATTTGTATACTTCATTAGAAAATATTAAAGAAATAATATCGATAATATTATATATATATATATATATATATGCTTTATTTTTTAAACGATAAGTCATATATGTACATTACAAGGTTTACTTAATCTAATCACTAATTATATAAAATTATATATTTATATAAAAGCAAGCAATCGACTATTTCTTATCTTTTGTATAATTCCATTAACATAACGACTAATACATACTATTCTATCTTTTTTATTATGAAAAAAAAATCATAACATTTTATTATTATTTACTATTATATTATTTTGTTTATATAGTATTATATTTTTATTAATAATTATTAAATATCATTATAAAGTTTATTATGGTTTATATTAACTTATAAATATTATTATTTCCTTTCTTTATGTATATATATATATATATATATATATATATATATATATATATATATATACAGAATATAAAATATGCGAATTTAACAAATAAAAAATGTATTCTATATATTATAATATTTAAAAGTACAACAAATATCATTTGATCAATTAATTGATTAATTATCAATCGAATCATTCAGAATGAACACCAACTTTCTACGAAGAATAATCCCCGCTTTTTTTCCTTTTCTTCTTTTTATTTTCTAATATAAAAACTCACTAGATTCTTAATCATATTTCCGTACAAAGGAAATAAGAAAGAAAGAAAGAAGGAAAGAAAGAAAGGAAAAGGAAAAAAGAAAGAAAAAAGAAAAGATAAGAAAAGGGAAAAAAAATGTAAAGAATACAAAAGGCTAAGCTTCAAATCAGGAACATCTCGAAGGATATCGCATTCAAGTAGCGTACGTGGGACCGGTGAATGGCTTTGAAGAAGAGACGATGGAGACGAGTAATTTCTCTGATATAGAGACACATACAGAGAAACTCGACTTACGTAGTATATCATTTATATATACACGCATGTATCTGTTATACGTGTGTCTTTACATGTGTGCGTGTGTGTGTGTGTATTTATATGTAATACGTATGTGTGGGTAGCAAGCATAACCGGCTCTTCGACTCTTGGCAATCGACCCGAACGTGCTTGTCTGGGACGAAAGACGAAAGACGATGACTCAGAGGTCCAGCAGACCGGTGCCGCCACACCCACCCCTACCCCCTCCGTCCCACACTCCATCCTGTCCGCCCCCAACCAGCCCTGTCTTTCTATCGTTTTTCTTGTCGTTTATTGCTCGAGCAAAAAGCTCTTTTCTCTCTCTCTCTCTCTCTCTCTCTCTCTCTCTCTCTCCCTCTCTCTCCCTTCCTCTCTGTCTCTCTTTCTCCGATCGCCATTTTTCTTTTCAACTCTCCAATATTAAGTATAAACGATAACGTTAATTTCATTTAATATAATCGTTTTATTTTTTCAATAAAATATTTTAATTTTAAAACAATTTTAATCGTTGCTTCTTTTTATATTTTTCTTCTCTTTTCTTCCTTTTTTTTCGTATGAGTTTGTCTTTATATAATGTGTCTTGTATAATGAATTTTTATAATTGTTATTTATCGGATCGATATTTGTAAATATTTTATAGGTAATATAACAATATAGGTAATAAGTAGATAATATAAACTGGTAAGTATTATACTGATTAATACAAACGGATGGTCAATATATATATATATATGTATGTATATATGTATATATATAAGAATTTTCTATATAAATATATAATATATATAAAAGAAAAAAAAATCTTCAAACGCCAACCAAACACGGAGTTTTACTTGATCAATTATATTACGTACTGATGTATTATTATAAATATTAAATAAAATAACTATTCTGAGAATTTATTGAACAATATACTGAACATTTATTTAACGAAAGTACTCACTTATTAATTAATAAAAATAATATTGATAAAATAAATGAAAGTCAAAATTTTTTTTTATTGTCAAGATATTGAAATTAAATATAAGAAAAAAAAATCTTTTCGTTCGTACGAATTTCGCACGTGTATTTTTTTACCTTTTTCTTTTTTTTTCCTTTTTTCTTGATTCTTTTTTTTTTTTTTTGTAATCTTAACCACCAAGGACAAGGATAAATTCGAAAGTGAGATCGTACCGAGCGATAAAGACATCAGAAATGATACATCGAGAACCAACTCTTCGGCAAAAGGGATTCAGGAAGAAAGAGAATCATCGCGTGAGAATTTCTTCGACGAACGAGTCTTCCAGGTGAAAGTGAAACACTGAACAGGTGTGTTCCCTTCTGGCCAATCGAAAATGCCATCATAAAAA